ATGCAGCAGCATGTGGAAGAGCTTTGCAGCCGCTGCCGCATCCCTCCTTAGGTGGACTCAAAGCATAAGCAAGGCTTTGTCCCATGAATCACATCATACCTTCAGTGCTTGTTTTTAACTGGAACATTGGATCACCCATTGCAAGTAAAGTCATGGCAGCTTCAGTGCTTCCATCATTAATTCCTGCAAAGTTGTTCAGACATGTTAAAAGTCACGAGCACATTAACCAGAAATCCACTTACCCATATTCAAAAAGCATTTGACACTATCATCAATGTAGTGAAGTACCTATTTCTTAAATTGTTGCCATTCACGGATCAAGATGCTTGTAGACAGACAGCAATTCTCATTCTCTAAATTCAAACTATTGTAAAAACACTGAGCAGCAATGTTATCCCCTTTAATGGTGTACTGGGTACACCAAGATGTTGGCAGCAGGGGGGCTGCCCTGGACACAGCCGGTTCCAACTGACCCCTGCAGGACAGAGCTGAGCCTGTCAGCCAAGATGGTGGCACCTTTGGGAAACATACTTAAGAAAGGGGGAAATGTTGCACAGCAGTGAAGAGTGAGGGGAAAAAGTGTCAGAAACAATCCTGCAACCACCAAGGTCAGTAAGGAAGGAGGGGGAGGAGGTGCTCCATGTGTGGGAGCAGAGATTCCCCTGCAACCTGTCGAGGAGACCTTGGTGGAGCAGGTAGATATTCCCTGAAGAAATTGCACCCTGTAGAGGACCCATGGTGGAGCAGACTTATCCTGAAGGACTGCGACACATAGGAAGGTTCCCACATGGAGCAGTTTACAAAGGACTGTATCCCATGGGAAGGGCCCAATGCTGGAGCAGGGGAAGAGTGTGGGGAGGAAGAAGCAGCAGAGACGAAGTGTTAGGAACTGACTGCAGTCCCCATTCCCTGTCCCCCTGTGCTGCTTGGGGGGAGGAGGCAGAGGAGTGGGAAATGAAGGTGTGAAGTTGAGCCTAAGAAGGTGGGGAGGGGAAGGTGTTTTAGCTTTTGTCTTTGTTTCTCACCACCCTCTATTTTTTTTGGCAATCGATTAAATTAGTTTTCCCCAAGTTGAGTCTGTTTTGTGATCTCCTTGTCTTTATCTCAACCCAGGAGCTTTTCCATTTTATTTTCTCCCCTCATCCTGTTGAGGAGGAGGAGTGGGAGAGCAGCTGGGTGGGCATCTCGCAGCCAGCCAAGGTCAACCCACCACAAATGTAAAAGAAAGAGGTCACAGTTTAATCACAGAAATCCATAACCTATAGTGTATATCCACATCCCAGTTTAGACTCCCGATTCCTAATCTCTACCCAGAATACATTCCTTTGCCTATCACTAACTGGTCATATCAGCCAAAACACTTCCATCCTCCAAAGCTATTGTACTGAAATAAATTGAGAGAACAAAGTAGGCTTCCTCTCCTTCAACTACAACAGTAGCCCACTCAATTTCCAGTGCTTCCTAGGAAGATGTATTGAGAGTGTATTTTAATTTAAAAGTGAAAGCTATTCCAAAAATTAATAGATCCATAAGAGTTTGTAACGTATCTCATTTGGAAAGAGTAGTTGCTTCTGGAGGACTGTGATCAGTCTGTCACACATACTATTTCACCAGTTTAGGATATTAAAGTCAAAGACCACAGAGATGACAAAGCTATGAATCTGCCCACTTTTTGTATTACTCAGTCACACATCAAGTAGGCTGCAAAGTTTCCTCTTCTCCCGGTACAATTAACCACAGAATGGGAAAGTGACAGACGGGACACACAAAGGGCACATTCTGACGCTGGGAAACAGAACCTTGCGATGCTTGGTTCCCCTACTTGATAGAGAACAGTAAGAAAGAAAATGGTTCAAATCTCCTCCAAAATACAGAAGCATCCAGTATCTCATAAGCTGTTTTTTTAATAAGATATATAAACTTCCAAACTTCCAGCAATAATAACTACATATTGGTAGCAAGTTAACGGGAAAGATATGAACAAGATTGTTTCATATCTACCTTTGTCCACCTCTGGATCTTCATGTACGGTTGTTTCCTTAAATAAAAAGAAAAACAATATCAAAGTTCTATATAAAATGAGTCCACAATTTTAATTTAATGCTTACGGGTAAATTCTCTGCCCAAAAGTTACCCTGGCTTTGAAAGGGTATTTTAAAGGCTGACAAATATTTACTTACATAGTTTTCCCATAGCTATGTCCCTCATATCTGTGTGGGACAGGTAAGAGTCTGTTAAGCTACACTGTTACAAGCAGACATGGCAACCAGACACTGTCCATGCAGCTTTGTATGTGCTATGAAACAAAAGAACAAAAAAAAAAAAAAAAAAAAAGACATTCTTACAGCTGTTGAGGTGCTTACTTTTTCCTCCTTCTGTATCACCGGCTGGAAAGATGCATGAGAGAGACTTTCAACATCAGTAGCCACCTGCACATCTGGTATATTCACAGATATTTCCAGCTGTAAAAATAATTATAGAAGTATTTCAGTTCATCAGCCCCGAAAGAAAATCTGTCAAATGCAAATTTTTATAAACGACATACTTATCAGATCTTGAACATTTAGTGGGATCCTTCCCAAAAAATGAAGTCTTACACATACCTTCCGATTTAAGAAGGCGCAGTTGTAAGCACTGGAGGCAGAACTGGTAGTGCTGCTTGTAACTAACTGGAAGCATCAGACAACCTAAAAACTTGTTTCTAATTGCTTATTACTCCACCAAACTAAGTTATGTGTCTGAGATCTTTCATGGTGGCTATTTACCTTAAATGGGTTTTGTCAGTTTTCACACTTTTTCTCTTTTAAGTCTTCATGAAAGAAAAAGAATTCAGCTTTTTTCCAAAGACAGACTAAGGAATATACACCCCCCCACACCCCCAGACACCCACCCACCATTTTACCTATAATTTTTTCTTCTTCTTCTTCAACACTGTCTTTTCACTGAGAACTTTAGACATTTGGTATTTTCAGAAACAAGGACTTGAAATTTGGCAGAAAGGTTACAACATTTCCCATGAGGTTCTTAAGAAAAACACTGCTCAATCTGGGTAGCTTTCAAAGGCTTGCACTTTTACAGACACTTTCCACTGATCTATTTAAATTTGACAACAGCTGAGTCCTCAGGTATCTAACCATATCCCTTACTAGTACTCATGGCTCTGTGTGTTAAACCAGGAAACTTGATCATCATCCCCACACATAATATATTCCACATCTTTGAAATGAAGGGATTCAGCAAAACTTGCTGTGCAACAACCTTCCTGTCCATTATCGTTCTAGAGTTCCCTTGGTGTTCTGACTGAACTTTAAATTCTCTTGCTGTTTCACCCAGAGAAAGAAACGGTGTGATTAATTCAGGAGACAAAAAAGCAGGATTTCAATGGGAGAAGAGAGGAAGATGACTGGTAGTAGTAAGCAAAAAGAATCAGAGTGAATGAAAAGAAGTAGTGATGAAGATCTGAGGCATAAATGGAACAGGTTGGATAAACTGATATGGAACAAAGCAAAAAGAAAGAAAAAAAGAGCTGTGAAGACACATCACTGAGATAAGACAGGCTAAAAGGGCCAAAAAAAGCAAAGAAGTCACGTTTAATGATAGGGAAAAAACAGAAAAATGTTTAAAACTTTAAGCACAATCCCTTTCAAGGCCTTGAACAGAGTCCTCCGTTCCCAAACCTCAACAGATCCCTGACGACAAAAAAGTATGCCATTTCCTCTCTAGTGACTGGTCTTAGTAGATATGATACCAAGTCTTGCTAGTCTTACAGTCTTGAGTTTCATTCTAGCCTAAAAGTACAATTAAACACAGGCCTGCATTCTAGGCTTAAAGCTTCCAACTCTACAAATGGTCCATGGAAGAGTCAAAACATACAGCTTTTGAAAAAAACTGACAAAGATGTAGATGGTCTCTCATTGAGAGTACCAGGGACTGAAGTCCATGGATCTGCCCATGCAGACAGAGCAGGAACATCACTGAATGGACTGCAGCCCATGGAGGACCCACGCTGGAGCACAGGCAAGGAGGGAGTCCATTGCAATGTCAAACTCTATAACCTGAACCAAAAGGACAAGGGCTGGAGATTTTAATGGATATATGTTTAAACTTTTTTTAACCCATTATTTGAGTTGTATGCTATAGTAAGTACTAGAGCAAGAACAACACGAATCAAGGGAACACAAGCCTCACAAGAAACCAGGCAAGTGCAGTAGTGACCAATCTGAACTGGCTTTGGCGGCCAAAAACTCAACACAACATGCCACTTTTCCTGAGCAACCACCTAATACATGGAGCCTGGCACGGACTAAACTCAAATGATATTTGATGGACATTTTAAGGGAGTGGCCCACAGACCAAGGGAATGATACCCATGTATACATCAAAGGACAGGAAGATAAACTGTGGTTAATAAGGATGTACTGGATAGTGTGGGACCTGAGCATGACAGACATGGTATGAAATAAAGGGTGAAGATTGTACTGGGCATGGCTGGGATGAAGTTAATTTTCTTCATAGTAGCCCACATGGTTTGGATTTATGACTATAACAGCGTTGATAACACACCAGTGTTTTTGCTATTGCTGAACAGTGCTTGCACAATGTCAAAGCTTTTGTTTTCCTAGTCTTTGCCCCAGCAAGTAGGCTGGGGGTGGGCAAGAGGTCAGGAGAGTGCACAGCTGGGACAGCTGACCCAAACTGAACAAGGGGATATTCCATATCATAGGATGTTGTGCTCAGCAATAAAAGCTCAGGGAAAGGAGGAGGAAGAGGAAGGCATTTGTGGTTATGGTGTTTATCTTCCAGCGTAACTCGTACACCAGCTGAGGCCCTGCTTTCCAGGAAGTGACCTGCCAATGGAAAGTAGTGAATAAACTCCTTATTTTGCTCTGCTTTCACGTGCAGCTTTTGCTTCACCTGTTGAACTGTCTTTATATTAATCCATAAGCCTTCTCACCTTGCTTCTATTTTCTCCTTGTCCCATAGAATAGGGGAGTGAGCAAGCAGCTGTGTGTGTGCCTGGCCACTGGTCAGGGTCAGCTCACCACACAGTTAAAGTTTCTTGGCGAGGGGGACACCACATACAGAAACATCTCCCTCATTCCCTCATTTCCTAACACTCAATGTAAAACTGAATGCTATTTGTTCCATCTTGGGCCTCAAAACATGCAGTAAGCATGGTAGTCGGTGCCTACATTCAATCCAATAAACAAACTGGTGAGCATCCTGCAGACCTATATACAGTCCATAAACATAACTGGACCTTAGACTGTTGTAGTATTTTGTTCAAAACCAAGTACATGTGCCAAGTAACATCCCTGCTGCTCTCAACGCCATTCTTGATGAACTTGAACTAAACTGTGATAAAACCCAAGTACTCAGAGATGCAACTAGGAAAAAAGCTGTTTAAACAATCAAAACAAAAGCATATACGCAGAATCCAGCTACTTGATACCTCTTCCATGGTTTCCTCTATCTGAACAGGAATAGGTTTTGGAGATCGAAGACCTATAGGAACAAACACTGGAGCTTTGTTTACTTCCTCTGGTGCAAAGCATTCATCTTCATCATCAGGCTCAAAGTCATCTGCCTCCTCTTCCTCCTCCTCCTCTTGAGAAGCCCAGAGGGTCACCAAGGTTATCTTTGAACTTCTGTGCTCTTTCCCAGATTTCTTTCTATGTGCGGTTTTCAAATTTTTGCCTCTGGTAACACTCAGTTTAACTTCTTGCCTTTGATTCCCCTTCTCACTGCAATCAGCCTCACATTCAGAGGCAGACGAAGGAGCAGTTCTTAGCTCTGAGACATGTTTTGGCAGCGCTATCCGTTTTGATGACCTTCTGGACTGCCTTCTAAAGTAAAGAACAAAAGCATCTTTAAAAAACAATGAAGTCCAAGATATTCCAAAAAAGAGGGGAACCACAAATTAAAACAAACTTAATGAATAAAGAAGGATCATTTTGACCAACAATACAATCTACTTACTTCCTAACGTATAGTGACAAAAATGCATCCACCTACCATTTAATCAGAAATCCCAGTTTCTTCATGTTTGCACAAAGTACTGACTGTAAATGTGTATTAGGCAGTTTCAGTGTGTTGGAAAGCTGCACAATTAAATTTACAAGATACAGAATTCTTTGATTAGAAAAGTATGAATTAATTCTCATTTTGAGGGACATGGAAGTCACATGCTTTTTACATCATGGGAACATTTGCAGTTCTCCTTTGCTAAAGCTATACTAGGAGCCCCAAACTATGATACTTTAGTTGATCAGACTAATGTTTAGAAACTAGAACTGTTAGATGATAACTAAGTATCTGCTCTGGTTTCTCAAACAGCAATCTCTTCAATAATCAGCTGCTTACTGTTTCCCTCCTCAAAATGATGGGCATGACCACTTTGGGTACCAAAAGTAATTCCAAACTTCCCAAAAAAACGTCCTCTTTGGTAAACTGGTGGGGAGGGGAAACAAATAGCAGCAGAGGACACTTCCAGCATGGAGTTTATATTTAGGTTAATCCCACAATCCCTGTGCCCCCAATATGGGTACTTCAAAGTCCTCCCCTTTAAAATCAGGAATTCCTGTTGAAACCAAAGGTGGACCCTGGGATGCATTGGCGGGAGTGCTGGCTGCGTTCATTTTATAAGAATGCACACAGGGTAAGAGACATAGGGATATCTGCATGCATCTGGTAGAGTTCAAATGGAAGACACAAGGACTGACATCCTTTATAGGCTCACAAAACACACTGCAGAACTACGGCTAATAATTAAGTTTTTAAAACAAAAGCCAAAACCAATCAGTTGAGCTTACAAGCCAAAATTAGTTGTTTTACCTTGAGAGATTGTCTGAATTTTTTTCCTCAAAGGTTGAAAGCTGAGAATCATCTTCTTGTTCTACTTGACTCTCACTCTCTGACGATATCTCCGGAGACTGGAGTCTAGTATCCTGCCTGATTCTTTTACAAGATGTTTCTTCAACAGAGTCTGTAAAATTGTGTTTTCTTGTACCCTCTGAGAAGGATGCAGCTTCCACTATGTTACTGGAGTTTTGCTGAACAGAGGAGACAATTACTACCATTTTAAGTGCTAAACATTTTTAACTGGTTTTGGTGACAAAAAGATTTAAAGGACCAAGTTTGAGGTTCTTGAAAACATGTCCAGCTGTCATCTCTGATACCTTAGGACATTTTTCCCCATTTTTTTAAATTTCAGGCTCTATAGCAGAAGTGTCATTAGATGGTATTATCCCTGATGTCTGAGTTCCCAGTGCTGCTGCTAGTTAACGGACCAAGGCCATGCTCAACTTAAAAGCAGCAACTCTTCAGAAGCTGGAAAGATGAATCATTTTCTAAAACTACCTATTAATTTAAAGAACAATTAGAGGGGAAAAAAAGAATTTTTTTTTTCTGCCCTGGGAACAAACTAGAAAGAAAAAACTACCATAGTTTACAGAATAGCACTTAAATATTATTCAAAACACACACAGAGAAACATATCCCAGGACATAAAAAACATCAGTAAGCACAGTTCTGTCAACTATGGATGCTTGGCTAAAATAATATGTTAACTGGAAGATTTTTGTGATCCATCTAGAAAAGCAACACCAGATAAACTTGATTCAGGTATCACAACTTCAGACAGAGAAGGAACTAGTCTGGAGTACGTTAGGCCTGTTGAGTGAATTTAAGCAGAAGGTCTGAACTTTGTTCACATACATTTCAACTTACACGTATACTTATATGAATTTTAGGTAGTATCTGATGTTAGACAGCTGCCTTAATTTCCATTGTTCAATGAATAACAGACATTAAATTAATTGGTAACAATGTTAGCATGTATTTATGATAATGCAGACTTCTGACCATATAAATTGTAAAACTTAAGACAACTGTGTACGTTAAAAATTTCCACAGTTTTTAGAATCTAAGTACGTTTATTCAGCATCAATTCCAATAGTGAATTAAAAAAAAAGAAAGAATCACATTAACCTCTCACAGCCATATACTGGATTTCTGTGCCACCTACGGTTCTAAGAACTTAAACACAAGAATTGAGGTATAAATTGGCTCAAAACACATGATTAGCACTTACCATCGACACACCTGTTTTTTCTAACACCAAACACACTTCTGCATTTCTATTCTCAGCATTGCCCTCTTCTCTGTTTTCACCTTCTTCAGGATAATCTCTTTTCCTAGTAACTCTCATTACGTTTAGCCTTGGGTTCCAGAGGGGTTCCCTCGCTTGATGCAAAAGTTTCGTATCACTCTTTCTACTTTCTTCTCCAGAACTTAATTTATCATTGGACCTACAAAAATATTTTTCAACTTTTAGTTCTCGTGAACTACAAAATACACTCTAAAAGTTTGGTTTACTATCAATTATTTAGTACTTCCAGCTAGAAATGAACTTAAGTGTTCTGCATTTTTATTTAGTTAGCAGGTGAAGTTTGAAAAAATAAGGGAAGGAGATGACTGGCTTTTTTGCAATAGTGGACCTTTCTGATTACTTTTGGAAAAGTCTTTTGGAAGGAAAACAACCTTAAGAAGTCAGGTAGAGCAGAAAGTTTCAGCTCTACCACCATAGGTCCCAAAAATCAAGCAACCATAGGAACATCATATTCATTAATTCCAGTGCTCAAGGTACTACTGCTTTTAAACAGAATGAAATTCTTACTGCTGTTCAAGCACATTCAGATCAGTAAGACAGAAATATTGGGCTTTTAAACTCATGTCTCATGAAAGGGCTAGAAGGAGGATCCAAGGAACTACAGGCCAGTAAGCCTCACCTCAGTCCCTAGGAAAGTGATGGAACAACTAATCCTGGAAACCACTTCCAGACACATGAAAAACAAGAAGGTGACTTGGAGCAGTCAGCATGTATTCACAATGGGGAAGTCATGCTTGAACAACTTGATAACTTTTTACAATGAAATGACTGGCTCAAGAGATGAAGGGAGAGCAGTAGGTAGTGTCTACCTTCACTTCAGTAAGGTTTCTAACATTATCTCCCCTAACATCCTCATAGAGAAGCTGATGAAGTATGGGCTGGATGAGCAGACAAGGAGGTGCACTGAAAGCTGATCGAAATGCCAGGCTCAGAGACAGGTGATCAGTGGCACAAAGTCTAGTTGGAGACCAGTAACTAGAAGTGTACCCTACGGGTCAATACTGTGTTCAATCCTGTTCAACATCTTCATTAATGATCTGGATGATGGGGGAGGGTGTACCCTCAGCAAGTTTACAAATGACACAGAACTGGGAGGAATGGCTCATACATCAGAGGGTCATGCTGCCAACCAGAGGGACCTGGACAGGCTGGAGAAATTGTCTAACAGGAACCTCATGAAGTTCAACAAGGGGAAGTGCAAAGTCCTGTACCTGGGGAGGAACAACCCCAGGCACCAATATGTGCTGGGGGCATCCTGGTGGACACGAAGATGAACATGAGCCAGCAGTGTGCCCTTGCAGCAAAGAAAGCTAACAGTATCCTGGGCTGCATTAGAAGCGTTGCTAGCACTGGTGAGGCCACACCTGGAATACTGTACTGGAGCGCCCAGAACTGGTCACAAGACAGACATGGACATACTGGATAGGGTCCAGCAAAGGGCTATCAAAGGTGAAGGGACAGAAGCATCTCTCCGATGATGAAAGGCTGAAAAGAACAGGGACAGTTCAGCCTGGAGAAAGAGAAGGCTTGGTGGCAGAGGGTGGGGAAATCTCAATGTATATAAATACCTGAAGGGAAGATGTAAAGACAGATGGAGCCAGGCTCTTTCCAGTGGTGC